GACTGTAAATTGAAGCGGCACTTTATATTTTACCAACAGTGGATGATTTGAGCCAAAGTTTGGGGGGTAAAGGCCATTTTGAAGCCTAACTCGGTATTTAATGAATCATTTTTCGATATGGTATATTTGCATATTKAGCTTTATTTTTATTTTTCATGAGGCGAGAATTCAGAGCTCCGACCTTTTGGTAAGGGATACATGCCTTAAAGAGTTGCAAAGTTACTTTTGTTTTAAAATGTCTAATATTTGTAAATAATGATTTTTTATATAAAGAAAAAAGTAATTGTTTTCAACTAGTACTATTGCAATTTTATTCTTTTTTATAAATTGTTTGAAAAAAAAAATCAAAATTTCCAACAAACCTAAAAATACAATATATTTTTCTTCCAACTGGCCATTTCGGACCAATATCGAGTCAAATTGACCCACATATAACCCTAGGGAGAGAGTAAAATGGGAACATTCTTGTAATGAGAGCTTTACAAGAAGAAAATTGRGATGAATGGAAACATCAAAGAAATTAGGCAGAAGAATGGGACAAGATTGAAGAATTCTCTTGTAAAACTTAAAACAGGCACTAAAAAATTAAGGTTGTAAGGTGGAGGAATTTCAAATGGGCGAAATGGGGTGCCTTTTGTGAAAAGAAATGCCATCATGTTTCCTTAAATACTAGAGACAGAGCGAGAGCCTGCACGTAATGAACTTAGACTTGGAGCATATGGAAGCAGAAAATAGCATAAAACCATTAGCATTTTCTTAAAGCACTTAAAACTAAGCGAGATTACAATAGAAGTGTTTTGAACCCAAAATAAGAAGTGGGGAAAAGAAGAGATTGCAGGAAAATGTTAAGAGATGCACAAATTAATAGAAAAAGCATGGGCCATTTCTGTATTTCACATAATTTTTTCCATGATCAGTTCCACAGAGGAACCAAGCCCTAGCAGGAAAAAGCTAAAAGTATCCATAAAACGTAGTGAAGACTGTGATTAGCAATATGCTATATGTCCCGTCATTCCAGATGCTCGTTTTGGAGCATCCACCATCTATTGTTCCTCGTCTCAAACATGGGTACATCTGGAGAAAACCACATAATGCACAAGGTTCTATTGGTTTTACAAACAGTGTGATACACGAGAAAGAATCAAATTTCCATAGTGAAACAGATATAACTAATGGCAGCAACAATTACAAAACTTGGAAGATAGGCCTTTTCCGAGTACCAGGGAAGAGAAAGGAGAGGGGAGTGGGAGAGTAGTAGTGAATGATAAGACCTGTTTTTCATGCTAAATTAATTCATTTAGTTCCCAGGGAACTTTATCAACAACCATTTAGTTAATGACAATTTCACCCTATATATATTTGCCATGGAAAATAGCACCTTTCCGAGGGTAATTTTTTGTTAATAAGTATACCATTTGGTTAATAAGATTTTCATGATAATTATGTGCTGGAAAAGGTGAAAGCACTACATTTTGCTTGCTTCATCACAAGCCAACAAGTTCCTTCTTGCATTGTGATAAGTATCAGCTGATTCAAACATGAACTGCTTGAGGATATTGTGCATAAACATATTGCTAAGGAAGTCCATAATTCGGGAGAGGAGGTATTAAGACCTTATCAAGCCCAGCCCACCAGTTTTGATGAAATTCACATAAATATTAGACACATCTAATAGTTGAAGGACTAACCATCATAAAGTCGAGAAAACAAGAAGGATTCAACAATATAAGCATTCCATTGCCGTTGACAAAGAAGTAAATGAAATAGTCAATTAGTAAACTAATGACAATGAGAGCTCACCTCCTTCAGGATATATTGAGTTATAGTGCACTTCAGCCCAAAAGCTCAAGCAAATAACTGCAAGTTATACATTCCAATTAGAAAATCCTTTTAATAATAATTGAGCATGGGGGAGAAAAATAAGATTTAGTCAAACATTACGACTTGTCTGTATTCAACATTCACACCTCTTCCGCTACACATAAATCCCTCCACCTTTCCATATTTGCAAAGTTTAAAGCTACAAAGTACTCTCTAACTCAACATTTAGACAATTTGAAGGTTAAATAATACATAGAACTTTTCTAAGTAGCTCACTGAGAGGAATTTGATCGTGATTGACTGCTCAATTGGGATAATAGAACTAAACACCTGGTCTTAGCTACAATACTGGTCAAAACTTGAAAGAACATACAGCAATCAATGGCTTCAGGTTCTAATGGTAAATTTCACGCATTAATATACCTTTCCATGCATCCCTATGAGAGTTTCTAAGGGGAAAAAAATAGATGGTTATTTGAAGTCGTCCATTTTCTATGGATAGTCTGTGTAACACTGAGCATGTTGTTCTGTTAAGAGAGAAGACGTGCTCAGACAATGAAAATATAAACTTAAGTGGATGGATGAAGGCAATGGAAATTCAGCCTTCTTTCACAAAATTGTTTCTAATAGAGGGAAGAACTTGAACTAAGGCACTTTCAGGAGATGGTGTTAGCTTGGAAAATGAGGGGGATACTGAAAGGAAAGCCTTTTATTCCAGAAGCTAAGCTATCGATAGAAATCAGAAACGAGTACTCGTTAGTTAAAGAGGAAAGAAGTAGGGATTATTAAACAAGCTCTGAGAAGATTTTTTCTAACTTTTAGATCCCACTCATTCCAACACCTCTTTTTCTAGCATGAATAAGTTAATTTCATTGGTGGTTTATGAGCTATTTACTGGTTCAGATTTGTGCTAGAAGAGTTGGATATGCAAGCCAATTTTTTCTGGATAAAAATCAGAGACTGGAAAGACCTTTTGAAGAATAAGACATCAGAGTTGCCAATAGAGAACCCTAGCGCTGATGAATTCTAAAGGAACATGAATGAAGCCTACATTGCACTAATGCCAAAGGAAGTGTTTAGGCTTGATTCCTTTTCTTGTAAGAAACAATTTCATTGGTGGTATGAAATTATGAAAGAATACCCTCCAAGGGAATTACAAAAAACTTCTCCAATCCGATAAAAGAGAAGAAAAGCTATTGTGATGAAAGAGAGAATATTTACACCAAGAAATGACCCATAAGACTGGCATAAAAAAATCAATCAAATGTGCAGACTTGATATTGGAAATGTTCTAAAGGAATAATAAACAGGAGTGTGCGTGAAGCCCTTACATCCCTAATGCCAAAGAGGATGGTTACCATAAAAGTCTTTAACATCAGGATAAACCTTACTGCCAGCACCTACAAAATCCTTGCTTAAATTTTGGTCAACATAAATTTTCTGCCCACGATCACTTTGGTGTGGTTTTAGTAACTGACAGATTATTGATCACATCTCAGAGGCACATGAATGATAGGCCTCCTATTACATCATATATGAGCAAGTACAAAAAGTGAAAATCCATGGGGGTTGAGGAATATTCATTATAGGGGACCAGGGCTCGTAAACGATTAAAAGAGAGAATTAATGGCTCTGAGAAAGAAGTTGGTGAAAAATGCAAATTGAGTTGCAATAATTATGGGATTTGGAAAGGGCGGGGCAGCAGGGCACTCAAAATGTTGCAAATATATTGTTTCTTTTGTTTTTTTTTTTTTTTTTATGTTTGCAAAGATATTATTGTTGGTTGCCTTGGAATATACACAAAAGAGAAAAGACCATATCTTTGTTGGCTGATCAATCCGTAGGGAACAGCCAATGTTAGCAGAGTGGACAAATTGAATACGAGAGCAGTTAAAAAACAAAAAAATAGGGAGCCTGGAAAATGCAATAAGCGTGGGGAAATGCCCATTTTCAAGAAAGCAGTGGTAATGAGTATCATACTCGTCATTTGGTGTACTTTCTCTAGCTATCTTCAGCATAAAGTCCTCCACGTTTCTGGTTTCCAGATTTTCGCCCCTTGACAATTAAAAAGTCGCCACCAAGTCTAGAAAGAAAGCTAAAGCACTCTTCTTGAACGCTATGTGTGCTATAATTTGCAATCAGATTGATAGTGACTAGAAGAGCTTTCTAGGGACTCATAGGAAAATGGATTAGTTATGATACCTTAGTGTTCTTTTATGCCTCTTGGTGTTTGTGTGGCCTCTTTTTTATATGTTTTTTCAAAGTTCTTCAATAGTCATTATATATTTGCTAGATTAATGGCAATTGAAGAGCTTTCTACGTTGAATTTTATATGTTCCAAGTTCCTGGCTTCCAAGGGTCTAAGGTCAACTGGAAATTACGTGTTTCATATAATCTACACTTGTATAGGTTGAGACTTCATTAGAACAAGGAAAATATGAAAATATGTGCTCATAAAATCTCATTTATTAAATATTCAAGGAATTACTACTAAATATTGGGAAGACATAACAATTGAAATTAGAATTTACCTCTTTTGGACCTTTCGATATTAGGAAGGATCTCAATATAGCAGGTGTCTTTGAAAGATGTAATCATGAAAATTTTAACACCATACTGCACCACAGCACAACCATGTATTAGGATTTCATGAAATGATTATTTACGTTTTTGACTTGCCAGAAATGTTGCAAGTACATGCAATGGAAACTAAGCAAATATTAGTTATGCTTTCATTTAGTTGCAGTAAATATGTTACATAAGGCTTAATCGTGATTTATTAAGTTGCCAACTAATCCTATAATAATAGCTAGTTAGTTTCCCATACACACCGTATCTGCAGCAGCCTGCAAAGTGACATGATCGCCCCACTCCCCACTCCTATTATCAACCCAAAGAAAGTGTCAAAGACCAAAGAGTCCAGTTAGACATCCCACCAATCAAACAATCAAGGAGAACAAACAAATTATGAAATGTATCGGATGAGTACTTGGACATCTTTTCCAGATAGTCAATGTAGGCCATGGGAACATATCCTTCGTATATCTCCGGATATGACTTTAGCTGAGAGTTAAAATATTTCATTATAACAAACATGCACACTAAAAATAAGGCCATAAAATTATAGCACAAAAATAAAGGTCAGAAGCAACATTTAAATACAAACATGCCAGACCTGATTTACAACTTGCTCCCTCACAAATTTATGGTGCTCAGGAGTTCGATAGATTTGATCTGACAGAGCACGAAACTGGAAAAAAAATGGAAAAAAGGATACATGATTCAGAGCCGCAGAATGTAATCAGACATGTATTACAATTAGCAGCAGGGAATTCATACTATATTACAATTAACTGCCAAAAGTAAAAATATCTAAAACCACGACACAGTGATCACCCATACTATATTATGAGACAAACATTTACACCAGTACACCATAGTAGACAAAGCTTAAGATAATGCAGTAGTAAGAGCTAACCTGGCAGTTACCATCTCCTTGCACTTTCAGCTCGATCAAATCATATAGCTGCAGTCTAAGGGGGGGGAGGGGGCAGATTAGTTCATTACCATATTGATTGCACCACATATTAGCATGTCATATTCTTGCTAAGCTACGATAACTAACTGTAGCCATCCAAAGTTAGAGATGTGTGTGTGAGAGAGTGAGCTGGGGACAGGCAGGAAAAGGGGTGTCAGACGAACGTAGAAACACCACCTGTCCAATAGCCTTTGATGATCTAAAGCTTCTTCATCAACAGAAGGAATTTCTCCATTAATTCTTGGAACGTGCTACAAAAACTCAAAATAAGTACTAAAAACATTAAGTATATTCCAAGGACCTTTTGAGCAAGTAGTCAGAAATCCAGAAGTCGTAGTAGTATGTGAACCACCCCAAGCACCATAAAGACACATGCACCATCTCCAATTTCCACCTTTCAAATTACCAGTTGCACTATCACCATAGTTTAAGAGCCTTGGCCAAAGAGTTCTTGAAGAGAATATAACCCTTCAAAGTAAACATGTAAAAAAGAAAAAAAAGAACGAGAGGGAAAACAAAAACTTGTCCGTGTTTCAAATCTGCAGCAATAGTAATTTACACCACTAACTACATCCTAGCATTTATTAACTTTTAACAATAAAATAAAGAACACCCGTCAGATGAACCTGACAAACGTAAACAACATGAAATAATCAGATTTCTATAGAAAGACTCAAGTAAGCCAGACTAACATGAAAATCATAAGATATTTCCTGTTATCTGACCATAAAAAAATAAAAAATAAAAAAATTCAGATTTTAACAGAAGGGCTCGAGTAAAGACATGAGAATCAGAAGATATTTCCAGTTATCTGACCCAATAAAAGGATTCTCCCAGAAAAACAATTAACTGGGACTCAACCACCCTCTGGAGAAATCAATGCAAACATGCACGTCATCTAATACACTCAAGTAAATATGAGCTCTCATTCAATTGAAAACTTACAGGAATTGAGACCATCTGATTCAATCTCTTTCCCACTTCTCCATCAAGGGCATACTCATCAGTCAGCTCTAAAGAATATGACCAGTCATCCCCACTGTAGGATGTCTCGTCAGGGATAGTACATGAACTATCATCTTCCTCCAGATCATTATTATGCTCTGAAAAACACAATCAATTTTAAACATAGAATAAAAGAAGCTAGGCTAGTCATACGATCACCAATATATTCTGCATTGAGATTTTAATCTATGGCACATACCAGAGCCATAGTTATTCATGGAGARACTAAGCCAATCTTGTGGATACATGGAAAGTTGTAAATTTTCTACCCCTTCATTAAAGGATACTGGCTCTTCGACTGCAAGCTGTGAGAGTTCTTGGAGAGTTTGTGCGATAAGCTCATTATTTTCTATGTTGCATGCCTTGTCATAATTATCTACATCAAAGAATTGCCCTTGATAGTATTGTATCTCATCATGAGCAACGTTTCCACAATACCCATAATTAGAAAATGGGTTTCCATCAAAGAGCTCGAGGCCCCATCGAACAACATCGGGATCTTGCTCGTGAGTAATCATCTCCAAATACAAATTCCTTAATCAGAATGTACTATTCGAATTAAACAATCAAGACAAAAATATAAAATGAGAACTACTTTTCTTACTAACTCCCTCCAATGAATCAATGAATGTTGTTTCCACTATCCAGCACTTTAGATTGTAGCTATTCTGAGCACCCGGAAGTGCAAATAAAGATTTCTCTAATGGAAGGCAGAAAAATAAAAAGTCATCCTTCGGTTTGATGGAGCAGAAATTTTAACGTTCCCCTTGCCTTTAACCTGCAGACAGTCATTGTTAATACTTCATGTCAACAGTAATGAACAAAACCCAATCTACTAACACAGATGGACCATTTTTTATGCAGAGAACTCATCCAAGTAACAAGCAATTCGATTAATAGAGCCAGATGAGAATGAGCCCAAAAACACAAGATGAAGCGGAGGAATCGGTTCTGTATATTGGACGACTACTTTATGAATAAGGCGTGATAGACCAATGACATTATCTGCATCAATCCTGATTATCAATACGCTCTAAATATGCACCGGGCTTGGCTCAGACAGAAAAAATAAATAGCTAATCATTCTCCTATAACAACCATAGCAGCTAAAATAGACAAATACTCCAGCACATTCATACATTGTGAAATGACAAACAGAACTGGAAAAAGTAAGCTCAAACTTACAGAAATTCGTCATTAAAAACTAAGACAAGATGAAATTAACGGAAGAAGGCAAAAAAAAATCGAAAACAAACTTAATTAACGACCGAGAAGCAAAAAKAAGAAGTATACATTAAAAGAAAAAAGAAAAACGAGAAAGAGATAAAAGCAGCAACACAATCAGTGTATCGTGTTCAGAACGAAATTATCCATCAATGCCCTCAAGTTGCTTTGATTTTTAGCTCTAAGTAAGTTCTACTGGATTCCGCAGCGAATGGTTACTGATATCCTCACATTCGCTTAGCAGCCAAACAGTTCTATACAAGCTATCCCGACCAAAACCGCGAAAATAGAAAAGCTCACCATTAGCGGGATTGGGCTACTGCAGTTAGCACCATGAGATTCAGAAAATAAAGAAAACGAAAATCAATGAAGCAAAAATCAACGGCATTGCACATTCCACTCACCTTCGATTGGATCGAGATAGAACAAAGATGCTCCAAGTTCCATCGCTGCACAGAGAGTGTGTTTCGCTGAGTGGAATCCAAAAAAAATAAAATTATAAAAATATAATATATACGACGTTGAACGCGGGTTCGAATTGCCACGTAGTTAGCAGCAGCGGTCAAAAGGAAAAAAAGGAGACTGAACATCCACATCCGTCGCCCCTCGTCACTGTTTCTTTTTTCTATTTCTTAATTTTTAATTACTATATATTATATATATGGGGGTTTTTAAAAGGGTTAAAACGTAATTTTCATAATAGTTTTTAATTAGTTTATGTTTTAATCTTCAAATCTTACTTCACTGCAGTGTGACACCTCTTGTAGGACAGTGCTTATAGATAGAATTGAAATTAAAAACAAAATTATAAATTATATAAAAGGTTTGCTTCAAACTCATGCAAAGTACAAAGTTGCATCTCATTAACTTATCTTATAGGAAAGTATTATGGTCACTGGTCAATTTTTATCCATATTTAATACATATCATACTACATTATTCTATAGAAGATGAATAATATTCATCAACTTTGTTTACACATTTAAAATAAGAGAAGCAATATCCTACTAGTAAATTCTTCTACTTCAACAATAACTATTATCCAACATGCTACTTTATTTTTCTTTTAGTTTGTTATCACTTTTATGGTTTAAGGATTAAGTATTTAAATAATAAAGATAGATTAAAATAAACTAAAGTCTGATTAAACTACTAATTACACCTGTTGTAAGCTGTATAAAAGGAAAAAATTGTGGGGTAAAGAAAACAAAAAGGAAAAAGAAAAAAGAGATTGGTTAAGCTATTATTTGGAATATACAAATAGGATGGGCAAAAGAAGAGAGTGGTTGGTTTTGAGTTGGGCTCATAAATAAGGTGGTTTGGAGGAGACGATGGGAGCCCAGTCCGCAAAAATGTGAAGCCTGGCCCACATGTTTTTAATGTAAACAACAATATAATTTAGTACGAGGTTAAGTGGGGGTGGAAATGTCGTTCTCATACACAGTCGCATTCGTACTAAAAATTTAAAACTTAAAAAAAAAAAATCAATAAAGTTTCTCGACACAAAATCATCCTCGTCCAATTCGATCAGAGTCTGGATATCAATATTTATGGAGTTCTAAAAAAGTAACCTACGGATATATATATTATAAGTTTTAAACGATTCAATATAATATATATATATATATATATATATATATCTAATTAGAAAAACTAATGACAATAACAAACGTACAATATCTTAAATGTTTTATTGGTTAAAATAAAATAGTTAACAGTTTAAAATATAAATTGAAATTAAAAAGATAAAAAGATTAACATCTGAATGTGAAATTTAAGAAAGAGAGAGAGAGAAAAAGAAGTGTTTAGTAAAGGGGAGGTAAAAGGCGTATGCAGGGGCATGGGGTTTGTGGTTTTAGACCGACAAGAAGGGACGGTGGCAATAATTATACCATGCCCTGCCCTTACTCATACAAGTTTTTACTAATACTGTTGAAGTTTTGACCGGTAAAATAGGTACTTTTCTACATTTTTCAAATAGATTAAAAGTTGTAAAATTTTTAATTCTAGTCAATAGCAAGATAGTTAGAGTCTAGAGGTTAGAGAATGTATATATATATTTTTTTACTTAATACCATAAATGGAGTATAAAATACCGAACCGACCTATAATTCGAACCAAATGGAATCAGTTCGGTCTAGTTATGTAAATAGTCGGTTTGGGTCGATTTTGACCCAACCAACCAAATATATTAGGAAGAAACCTGAATATCAAGGAAGAAATCCCAGAAGAAGAAGAAGGAGGTAATCCCATTCTCTGTTTTGTGTAGGATTGAAGAAGGAATTCATTTCCATTTTAATTTCATATATTTTCAATTCAATGAATCGGCACCCTATTTTTAGTCCCTTTCTCTTCAATTTCATTTTCAAGAAGAAAATTTTTTGGGTTTCAATTCCAATTCCAAGATGAAAGAAATTCTAAGTTTAATTTCAATTTTAAGATAGTTCAAATTTGAATTTCAAAATTAGAAAGATTTTTGGTTCAATTCGAGGGATATATTGGATCTCTCTCCCCGATTCAATTTGAAAAAGAAAAATTTAAAGAACGAAAGATCTCCGTATGAAATTATCTCTAGGAAGAAAGTAGTCCACCATTCAATGGGCTAAATTATACTCCTAGGGATTCGAATCCACGACCTTACGATTTGATTAAATACTTTTTAAAATAATTTATATTTATATTATATTAAAAAGTTGCTTAGGAGAGAGAAGTTTGATTCCTCCTAAGTCCTTAGGTCTTTTTAATAGGTACTATATTGTTATTTTGATAATATATTTCAATATATTAATATTTAATTTAAATTATAAATAAATAATTGAAAGTTTCAATTTAACTTATAGAAGAGTAAGTGTATTTATTTATTTAAATGAGCATATCTTTTAATATAGATATTAAATAAATAATTATAAATTTTAAGTAAAATATAATTTAGATTATTTTAATTAAGTGCAATTTAAAAGAAGTAAAAAGGTTTAGAGAAGTTAAAAATTGTATAGATATTCGAAATGTCACGAGTAAGAAAATCTTAAAGCTAAACTTATTTGAARAATTTAAAACAGGCAAATCAATTCACTTGGCGTCATACAAATTTTAAAGCATAGCAGAACTTTTTTTTTTCATTAAAAAATATAGTAGAGTTGTAACGATACATATGTTTCTACGATGAATTAGAAGATCTATCAAATGTTCATTAAAAAAAAGTTTATTAATGTGTTAACTTGAGCTTCGCTTAACTGAAAGACATTTATATTGGATAAAAAAATCGTGAATTCGAATTCTTACTCCCATGTATTGTTGTATCTATATATATATATATACATAGTGGCGAGAGTGGAAAATGCATGGAGTTGATAATATTGGTGAATTTGATGATTAGTGTTATTGCATCATTGGTGGACAAATTGCTTGAAAAAATGGGAAAATAAATTTATGTGGAACTTTAGTGGCACATTTCACCATTGTTGCATAAGTTTTTAACTTTATAGGTACTGTCGATAGTTTTGTATTTTTTAATTTAGCATAATTCAATTGGCTAAGACATATCATTGATTAAAATATAGAAATTTCCTTATCTCACCTTCACCTATAGTGAACTAAAAAAATAAAAATTGTATTTTTCATTATATATTTTTAAACTTTAAACCCGTGAAAATGATATATATTTGTATTTTACTTCTAGTTTTAGTTTTACACTAGACTATTGACATGTATTTCATCTCAAAAGTTTGTTGGCATTTTAAGTAAACAATAATTTGAGAAACATAAAATGATGTAAATATGAATTTAGCCCGGCGGTAATGAGTACGATAAAAAAGATTCGAAAAAAAAAACATAAAAGGATCAGATATCCTGTCTTCATTTACAAGGTAGATAACAATATATAAACATGTGATTTTATAGATGCATTTTCTTTCTCATAAATTATGAAGACTAATAATGAAGAAATTTTTTGCTTTGTTTGCTATGGTTAGATTAGGCAATTATTAAAATGAGTGGACGTGGTATCTCCCTTTTTAGTTTTATGTTTTAAAAATGTTTTTTTTTTTTACCATTTTATTAGCGCATGAAAACAAATTTAAACTTTTATTTAAATTTCAAAATCAACCATAATTTTTTTCCTTTAAAATTTAGCCTATATTTTAAAAATACTTATAAAAACTATACAACAAAACAAATATTTAAAAAATGCTTATAAAAACTATACAACAAAACAAATGAATATATCAGTTAAAAGTAATCTTTCTAAACTTAATTTTTAAAGATAAAAAACAAAAAACAAAATGGTTATCAAATAAAATTTTAATTTACTAATGATTCAATATCACAAAATCTTCCAAATCTTCTCCACTTGTTAATGATATGTTAGAAGTCTAGCTACAGTTCAACAAATTTATTATTTAAGCCATTATAATCTCGATCAAAATGTCAGAAGATCAAATTTTCATTTACACACAGTGATTGAACTCGTGTTTATCTAATTTGGTGCGTTGTATTATAAATAAGAATAATTGGTAGTTAAAGTTGATTGAATACTTTAATTAGTCAACTTTGGCGATAAACGTGAAATGATTTGATTATATTTAATATAGATAGTTACACTTACATCAACAGTACTAAGTTGGTTCAGCGAGGAGCTAGTAGGGAGGCTGACACGTTGGCAGGGATTGCCACACTATCTGACCAAATTCTTGATTCTAAATACAACTTGGAAATTTTGCTTGCCACGCGAGCCATATTAGGCCGTTTACACGGGTCCACGTGGACACATTGAATAGCCAATCGCGCAACCTTCTCTGCCACGTGTACCGGAAACGAATCGTTTAGCCTGTGGTCAACCCACCTCCTCAACCTCCCTTCCACGCCAAAGGCGCTGCTAATTTTACCCGCCCGTGACCGTGACTCCTCATCATCGTCACCTTCGATCACTGCCATGGCGCTCTCGATCAACGAAACCCTAACGAAATTGCCTTCAATTTTATCGAATTCGAACTTCAGAGGCTCCTCTCCAGACAATAGCTCTAATATCACCACACCGAATGCGTACACGTCGGTCATCGGCGTCGCGACGCCGGTGGATTTATACTCTGGTGCCATGTATCCTCTAGCCCCCTTTATCTGTAATTTCCCACTTTTCAATTTCTGCAATCGTTTATCTTTCAACTCTGCCTTCATCCTCGAATCCGAAGGTTTTTCACCTTCTATATTGTTCCAATCATCCTCATTGCAGAGTTGCGCTGCGCCAAAGTGACAAATCCTGGCGTTAAACGAAGGCTCTGTTACTACAATACTGCTGCTCTTTATGTGATTATGCGTGAGGCTCATGTTTAGCCCTGATTTATTGTGGATGTAATCGAGGCCGTGCGCCAGATCTGTAGCAACTTGCATCCTGGAAATCCAAGTGGATAGAACAGTGAAATTAGGGCTTCGAGAGTTCCTCAAACAATCGGCGAGGCTTGCTCCGTTGACGAAATCGTAAACCAGGTAGAGATATTCCCCTGAGAAGGAAGCGCCGAGGAGTTTGATTATACTCATGTGGTGGCTTCGAGAAATCTTGTGGAAGCGATGTTTCAAATCTTGGAGCTCGATTTGGCGCTGGAACTTGCGCTGGAAGATCAGGACATCCTTGCCGTGGAGCGTGCACCGCCAGGAAGGCGTGGAAGAGGCGGCAGAGTATTGCTTGTTGAGGAAATTGTTCGTGGCGGCGTTAATTTGGGAGAAATCGTAGATGCGAGGGGATTCGGGAAGAGATTCGTGAAGGGTGGAAAATGAGGCCCAACTCAAAGCAGAATCAGTAGTTGAAGCTGTAGATTGTGGGGATGGAGAGAGGGGAGTGGGAGGGGGTAAGTGAAGCTCTGCAACATCCAGCGCCATTTTGGTTGAGGAATGGGGAAGACGATGGAGATTTTGATGTAGGAACGGATGGAACATCACGCCATCCATCACTTTGTTTAATGTCTTTCCTTGCTTTTCTTAGATATGTCTAGATTCTAGATTAGATATGTAGTAGACTTTAGGTTTATTTTTAATATATGTAATAAATATACTTATGTCAACTCACACTATTATAATTATCCCATTAAAATAAAACACAATAAAATAATGGTCTCTTGGATTTTGAGGGATTTCAAATGAATTCTTTAATTTGTTATCACATGAAATTGATTGGATTTCAAATAGCATTTTAACTTATATGAAAATGATCTAATTTGCTAGGATTCGCCTGATTTCAAATAGTATTTTTACTTATATGAAAATGATCTAGTTTGGTAGGATTTTATAGAATTTCGTGATAAATTACTAATTTAATATTGCCATATTTTAATTTTTAATTATTAAATTTAGATTAAAAGTCAAAATTATTAAACTTGAACATCCAAAAAAAATCAATTATATTTATTGTAGAAATTTTGGCCAAATAACAGGTGATACATCGTTATTTTTAAATTATATTAACGAACCAATCACGAATTTACACGTGTACTAAATTAATTTAAAATCGAAAATTCAAGTTATATCATGTGTTCTTCTTATGGTCGTTCAATGTCATCCGCTAATTGGATCTGCCCATAAGAAGATTGAGCTCAAATTCATTAAGCCCGTAACTCTATAAATAGGGGTGTCACTTTTCATTCGAGACATTCAAAAATTTTTTAGAAAACTAAAGAGATTTAGAACCATCATAATATTCAGAATCGTCCTACAATCATCCAGAGTCATCCACAAGCTATAAGTTGAAGAATTTATCGAGTTGAAGACTCCATCAAACTACAAACTGAAGACACTATCAAGCTGCAAAGACTTCATTTAAGCTGCAGGTTGAAGACTTCGTACAGCTATAAGTCGAATAACTTCATCAAACTTCGTAGCCAAAGAACTTCGTCAAACTACATAACCGAATAACTTCACTAAACTACAAGCTTAAGAATTTCATAAACAAGACAAAGTCGTCAACAAGCTTAAAATCGAAAACCTCAAAATCCTTCAATAAGCAAGAAGTCGAAGGCGTCAACCTCCTTGATATTCAAGAACAAGTTCACAAGTCCTTAAATTAAAATTTACACACTAGAGAAATTAAAAGAGAATTATACATGCATYTGAGATTGTAATACTTACACAATATAATATAAGTTCATAAAGTCGAGTTTTCTCTTAATTGAAATTTCTCGATATAAGTTCATAAATTTAAGATTTCTCTAGCTTGAAATTACTCACCATGGACAATATTAATTTTAAATCATTCTTATTCCAAATAAGATAAATAATTTTAAACCATTTCTTAGATTTTAAATCACATAATTTAAAATATCATTTCTTAAAGTCTATTGATGCCAAACATTTTTTTTTCAGTTACTGACTTAATAGTTTTAAGGTTTAAAATATCAAAATTTAGTCTCAGAGCTCAAAAAAAAAGGTCCCTCAATGGTTCGGGGTTACCCTCTGCCAGAAAAAAAANTTTTTTTTTCTTTTTCATTTCAAATTAAAATTAACATCAAACTAAAAATTATATAAAATATTTATTGAAAATACATAAATTAAATTTGATATTTAAAGATATGGATTACCAAATTAAAACAAATCTCAAATGCATGAACCAAAGTAATATTCCCTCTTTTTTTTTTGTCCCCTCCAGTTTATTACTTCCTTTTCTTTATTTARAAAAAAAATACGAAGGATATTTCTTAGGCCAAGATCTCTATATTTTGAATACATCAATCTCAACTCTAAAGTGATAAAATGTTTCGAAGGCCAACTTGTCATATAACATATAAAAGTAAACATTTTTKAGAGYAGAGTGTTGTATCATATCTTAAATTGATTTGATCAGCTTTGTTAAATTTTAACTCTGTTTAGTTGAAAAAAATAAATATATGTCAAACGGAGCAAGAGTGGGATGGAATTCAAATTAAAAATAATTTCACACATAATTCCGCAATGAAGTAAAATTTTGATTTTGTTTCTAGAATCACACCCATATAAAGTTCCCATGCTTGTATGATGTATTGTGATTTGTGAAGTCAAGCTTAGTTTGCAGAGATCACACCGGCCACCTTTATTGTTTTTGTTCAATTTCGAATTGCACACGTAACTTCGGAAGAAAATCTAAATAAATCTCAAATATTAACCTAATAAATATTATGAAAAAAAAWTTAGAAAAAGGAAAGAAAGATGAAAAAACTGAAACTTTGATTTGAAAAAATAATAAAATTAAGCTGTGATTTCTACTCTAAAAATGGGTAATCACACTTGGAATTAAGAGGTTACAAAGAGATGAAAAATTGAGAGGGAATGAATTGAGTTAAAATTAGTATAACATATTAGAGAGGAAGGTTTAAAATCAAGATAAATTTTTCTTGATTACGAGTTTCTAGAAGATTTTTATTTAATTGAAAGTTCTCCCTCATTATTTAAAATATATATTATTAATTTGTATTTTGAATATTATAAGAAAAAATTTATGAAAAAGATATASGTTGAATGAGAAATTTTGAGGAATTACTAAATGCCACGTCACAAAATTAAAATTATATTTAGGACCAATTATAAAATGACACGTATACTAAATTAATTTAAAAATTGACTAATCTAATTATGTTACTGAGTCCAAGCCCATGACCGATATAAGATGGACCAAAATTCTAAAACAAGAGGGGGTCACCTCTCATTTGAAAGAAGGAAGGATTCGAGAAGAGATCCAAAAGAATTGGAGCTTTATCAAATTGCAAAGTCTTCATCAAATTGGCCGAAGAATTTCAATAAGTTGCAAAGCCAAAGAACTTCACAAGCTATACACCGAAGAGCTTCACAAGCTGCAAATTCGAAGAACTTCAATATGCTGCAAGGCCGAAGCACCTCACAATCTACAATGCCGAAGAACTTCACAAGCTGCAAAGCCGAAGAAATTTCAACAAACTGCAAAGTCAAAGAACTTCACAAGCTACAAGCCGAAGAACTTCATGAGCGCAAAGCCGAAGACTTCACAAAGTCTTCATTAAACTACAAGTCGAAGAATTTCATCAACAAGTCAAAGTCTTCAAACAAATTCAAAACCGAAGACTTCAAAGATTCTTTATCAAGCAAGAAGTTGAARACATCAACCATTGATTCAAGAAAAAGCTCATGAGCCATTGAATTAAAGTTTATGTTTAAGAGAACTCAGAGGATTATACATTAGAGATTGTAACACCCACCTACATAAGTACAATAAAAGTTCATTAGTTCGAGTTTTATTGTCGTTGAATTTCTCATCAAACAATATTATTTTATATTCTAAATTACATTTATAATTAAAAACTAAAATAAATATATATCAATATTATTATGTATGTACACTATATATTATATGAAAAATATAAGCGGTTTTAGAATCGGATGTTTTTTGGACCATCATGTCACTCGTTCATACATTAATCCGGTCCTACATGCAACTCAAATGCAATCAAAACCGAATTAAATAACGCGTCTAAAATATAAACATAAACACCAAATAAATATCAAGACTTTTTATTATTCACTAAAAATGTACTGTTTGTCGTTTTATTTTATTATCTTTTTTTGAAACAACTGTTTGTCGCTTTATAAAATTTAATTTTTTTCTTACCTCTTTTGCTTTCATAGGCCACGTTCTTATCTCCCATCCTCAGAGTGGCAGCCGCCATAGCCAAAGAGTTCAACACGCAACAACTTTTGCGTATAGACGGGGAAACAACTCTTGATTCTTCAAACAAATTAATGTTCGATCCTTTAATTTCTTATAATTTTAAGGGACAAAAGATTCCCTTATCGTTATGTCTAGGTATGGGATATCACTTTTCTTTTCTTCGGCCCATGAGTTAATCAACATACCCTATTCGTTGCTCAATAACAAAAATCTAAATTTTATATAAAAATATTTTTCAATAATTTGGCCAAATAATTAATTTAGATGGTTTTCAAGGTGTGCTTTGCACAAAAGAAGCTTTTTTTCCCATAATATACCTTTTTTTTTAAGTGTAAATTGAGAACAAGAAAAAAAAATAAGATTCTCTTTTCACATAAAAGCATTTTACAAAGAAAAAAAAAGTCTCGTAAAAAAATTTGACAAAATATAACTAAATGAACATACTATTCATATAAATAAAAAATTTAACTTATTTAATTAAGAGAGTTGAAGGCTTATTTGTTATTTTAAATATTAATTTAATATGAATTTTTTGTTTTTAATAGTTTTTTAAGAAAAAAAATCTATTTATTTTAGTTAACATGGACATTTATAACTTTCGTAATAATGCTACTAATAGGTTTTTAATCTATTAAAAATAAATAAATTAAATTAAATTAATTTCTTATCACCCTTTTCGTGTGTTTAGTTTAACACATAAGGTGGATGGGAAGCTTCAACTTCAAGAAATAATGTATAATAGGCTTTTATTAAGTGTCACACGACTTGTTAATTACCTTTTTCTCACCCTCTTGTAGTTTGTTTCATTTTCCATATTTTTCTCTCTTTCTGGTCTTTCCGTCGCCATCTTTATTAAAAAAAAATCTAAGTTAAACAAAAACTTTAGCAAGAAATTAATACCAATTATTGTATTAGAAAATTTGAAAACAATATGAAAAGATCAAAAACAAAAGATTTTTTAAAAACAGTGAAATGCTTATGTGTTAATTTCAATTTTATACGAATATTTTATTTTTATAATCTTTTAAAAAATATCCGACATTTTATCGATATTTCCATAAAATTTGAAACCTCTACATTTTCTAACCTTTAAAACAATACACGAGGGCTAAACAAAGCGGGCAGGAATATGAATGTATGGAATTTGATTACAAATTCCCCTCGAGGGTCTAAGAGAAGCAATTTTTAAAAAGTTGAAGGACCAAACGGATATTTGTTCCCATTATAAAAGGCCAAGCAATGGGTCGCTTTTATTCACATCACTTGGAAAAACAAGCCCTTTTGTTCCAATGGCGAACTTTGCTTTGCTGGTTTCTCTTTTTGTCTCTGTTATTTCTCTTCCCAATCTCTCTGGAGCAATCTCTTCCTGCAATGGCCCGTGTCGGACCCTGAACGACTGCACCGGCCAATTGATCTGTATAAACGGCAAATGCAACGATGATCCCGACGTCGGCACTCACGTCTGCTCCAATGGAGGAGGAGGTGGATCCCCGCCGCCGTCTCCAAGCAACGGTTGCCGGCCAATTGGCAACTTACACTGCAAAGGCAAATCCTTTCCTCAGTTCAAGTGCTCGCCGCCGGTGACATCCTCCACCAGAGCCATCCTCACAAACAACAACTTCAGTAGCGGCGGCGACGGYGGAGACCCATCGGAATGCGACGGAAAATTCCATGATAACTCCGAGCTGATTGTGGCGTTGTCCACAGGCTGGTACAATGGAGGTTCGAGATGCGGGAAAAAGATCAAGATTACGRCTAGGAACGGGAGGTCTGTGGTGGCTAAGGTGGTGGATGAGTGTGATTCCGTTAATGGCTGTGACAGAGAGCATGCTGGGCTGCCGCCGTGTGGGAACAATATTGTGGATGGGTCCGATGGAGTATGGAAAGCTTTAGGACTTGACATTGATGTGGGTGAAGAACCTGTTAGYTGGTCCGATGCTTAAAAGTTTAATCCTGTTGTAAACCAATAAGTGGTCAAACTGTTGACGAAGCTCATTGGAAATGTTTGACCTAAATATATGATGATCTCAAAGAGATGAGTCAATACTACAACTTGTCTTGTATCAAACTGACTTAAGTTTGTATCAAGTTATTTCCAATATATTATAATAAAGCTTTTGCGTCTTACCTTGTGATTGTGTTTTCCGATATTTTCCGAGATATATAATATATCTTAACTAGTTTAGTTACGTGAGATGAGTTGCATTTATTAATGCATTTATTAATTATTTATAACTTTCATTCTCGGATGATAAATAGTTTAGTTTACCACCAATAATTTTATAGAAAAAAAAAAAACTTCATCACTTATTTGTTAACTAACAATTTAAGCTGAAAACTTAGGACTCGTTTGGTTAAGGTTCTCCTTTCTTATTTTTGTTTTTTGCCACACCCATGGATATGAAAGAATAATTAAAAAAATTATTTATGTTGGAAAAAATAAAAAATGTGAAGAAGAAACAAAAATTTTTTCATAAAGTTTCTATACGATTTTGAGAATATTCTTAAAAAATAAGAAACAAGAAACATAAATAGTTGTAAAATGCTTACATGTTCTAATAAAATTCAAAACGAGGAAAAAAACTGAAAAGTTGCCAACATAGCCCTTAGAAACTGAAAATTTTACATAAGACATTGTGTAACTCATCCCATTGGAAGTACTCTTTAAGTCTTAACCAAAACCTTGACTCGCAATTAGTTCAAAACTAAAAAAGATTGGGATGATAATACGCCAGCTTAATGGTATTGGAAACACATAAATTAATTCTTAAACTAGCTAGTGGCCATTATGAAATTTAAATCATTCGTTACTTCTTACCTTATCCTARTCTCTTTGTATCAATGAGCCACTAATGATAATTCTATATTCAATTATAATCGAATTGGCAAGTGACATCCATGAAAATGATTCACTTTCAATATGTATCCTGGTGGTGAAATGATAGACATGCGAGACCTAAAATCAAACATGCTAAAGAGTATGGAGGTCGTTCAAGTCCTCTTCAAGACATAATGTTGAGAATGACCGTTGAATATGGAAGGAATAAGTTCGACAGCAGATCACGAAATCTTGGCCATCTTCACTATCTAATGAATGAAAGTCTGCTTTGAAATTGTTCGCGTCCTGCCACCCACCCTCAAGTATATGCTTATGCTATGTTGGTAATCTCTTATGATAATCATCCACGTCTAAAGCGTAACTTAATGCCTGAAAGTTATGTCGAAATTCATGATTTCGAAAGGTGATCAAAATTCATATAACCGCTCCTAAAAGTCTTGTGATTTGATTTTAGAGTTCTTTTTAGCCTCTATGTTTTCTTTTTCTTTCTTTTATATCACAAGCTCTTTTTTCTTTCTCCTTAAAATCAACGATTATGGAAGCGATGGACGACATCATATCTTAAACCTCAAAGAARATAATTGATACTTTATCTACTAAACTATGTTCRAATTGACCTTTTAAAAAGGTCGTTTATGTAAGACTACCACTTTGACTCTCGAAGAACGGCTTGACCTCAGCCTTTCATTGGGTGTCCGATGAGACCAGAGTCGAACCTGAGTTACACATTATATTTATTGATCATGTTTTGCTTTATTTATAGTTTTCAACTTGAATTACCAGTGGTTGGTGTCATAATTTTTAGGTACTTTTTTGTTCATGCAAAATTTTAGATTCGGTTTTCAATACAAGGATTAAGTTCCAAACAAACACTTGTACCTACAAAAAACTATGGGCTCGTTTTGGTTCTTGTTTTCTTGTTTCTCGTTTCCAATTTTATTAAGAAACTTAAGTATTTTGTAACTAACTATGCTTCTTGTTTATCATTTTTTGGGAACATTCTCAAAATTATATAGAAATTTTGAAAACCACCAAAACGAGTTTCTTCTCTCTTGTTCCCATTTCTCATTTTATACCAAGACATAAATAAAAAAATTGTTTGATTATACTTGAATTGATCGATGTTGGGGCCATGAAATTCATTTTTCTTTATTAAAAATGAATAAACAAAAACAAGAAACAGGAATGTTACTAAATGGATCCTATGTGTTCAAACATAATAAAAAAATAGAGTTAGTGTAACCTAATTTTCCAAACAAACACTTGTACATACAATAAAATATAAATTATGTGTTCAACCGAAAAAAAATAGAGTTGAGCAACCTAAAGAAATTACTGATAGCAATTAAACTAAATAATGACCATGGGATCTAAACTCATTTGATCATTTTTTACTTTATTTATAGTTTTCAACTTTAATTACCAGTTGGTTGGTGTCATATTTTTTAGGTACTGTTATTTGCTGATGCAAGATTTTAAATTCTGTTTTCAATACGAGGATAAGTTCCAAACAAAACACTTGTACCTACAATAAACTATGTGTTCAGCATAATAAAAAAATAGAGTTAGTGTAACCTAATTTTCCAAACAAAAACTTGTACATACAATAAAACTTAAATTATGTGTTCAACCTAAAAAAAAAATTAGGGTTGTGGAATCTAAAGTAATTACTAATAGCAATTAAACTAAATTATCACCATCAATGAAAAACTCATTCCCTCTTAATTTACTTTGATCCCTTTGGACGAATGAGTCACCCACGATCTAAACTTATGGTTTATAATGGAGGGACTATAACTATATTTAATCTGAAATGGGTGATTTTACTTTATATAAAAAAAATAGAGTTGTGTAACCTAAACAAATTACTTTTTTTTTCCGAGTAAAACAAAAACTTAATTAATGAGAAACAGCAGGCTGCAGTATGGGGCAAGATGATAACACATAAAGACAAGATGGCCGAACAAGAAAAGACCACATAATGCATAGAATTTGACGACAAATTCCCCTCAGGGTTAAGTACAGCAACATCTTAAAAACTTGAAGGACCAAACAAATATTTGGTCCTATTATATAAGCCCAAACCAATCGCTCACTTTTATTCGTACCACACTTGGAAAAACAAGCCTTTTCCTTCAGTTAATTATGAGTCTTATTTCCCTCATGGCAAACTTGGGTTTGCTGGTTTCTCTTTTTCTCTCAACTGTTTCTCTTTTCAGTCTCTCTGGAGCAACCACCCCCAACGACTGCAGGGGCCAATTCGATGCTCCCGACTTGGTCGTTCACTGTTCGAATCGCAACGGAGGAGGAACATTTACGCCATCTTCAAGCAATGATTGTCAGCCCTTTGGGAGCTTGCACTGCAAGGACAAATCATTTCCACAGTTCAAGTGCTCGCCTCGGGTGACTTCCTCCACTCGAGCCATCCTCACAAACAACGACTTCAGCAAAGGTGGTGATGGTGGAGATCCATCGGAATGCGATGGCAAGTTCCATGACAATTCTCATCCAATAGTGGCGTTGTCCACTGGCTGGTACAATGGAGGCTCGAGATGTGGGAGGAAGATCAGAATTACGGCTAGAAATGGGAGGTCAGTGTTGGCTAAGGTGGTGGATGAGTGTGACACCATAAATGGATGCGGCAAGGCACATGCTCATCAGCCACCGTGTCGTAACAATATTGTAGATGGCTCGAACGGAGTGTGGCACGCTTTGGGACTTGAGATAGATGTGGGGGAAGAACCTGTCATATGGTCGGATGCTTAGAATAATTATAGTTCTATATTACCCCTAAGAATATGGTTTGTTTGTTGTGATAAATGATCAGGCTAATGAAATATTTGACCCAAAATATGATAATTTCATGTAGCTATGAAATTAGGGGATATGTAATGTTGTACTGATGATGAGGAGCTCGAGGCAGCTCATCTTTATCATCTTTTGTGTCCAATTAGGTCTTCTTCAATAAAAGTCTTTGCCTTTGAATTAGCTTAAACCTTACCCTTGTATAAATGCAGTAATTTTTACCTTTTTATTTGGCCTTTTGTTTAAAGAATCACTAAAAAAATATCCTTACCATATGGGTCTTCAATAGATTACAAAAGTAGGAAAGCAAAGAACAAATTAATTGATGGGGCTAGAAAGAAAGACCATGCCAATAGTAGATTTTTGTTAAAATTGATGAGTTTCAAGTGATTTATTATGATGTTATTCTTTTGAGAGAACTTTTATGTTGAAATTAGTAACGGGGAAACCTAATCGATAAAGATAAAAATTATAACATTTATCCAGATCTAAAGTCAAATAGAAAGTTTATACTCATCCGGTCAAAGTTCAAGGTAAAATTTCAATTTCCCAAAAGAGAAAAAAATAAAGTCCACGACACTAACATTCTTCTCATGATTTATTTTATCTATTTCTCACGGCTTTATATTCTATACTACTTGTTTACATCGGTCTTTCCTCCACCAAATTTCATTAAAGAAATCATGAAAGTAAAACAAAATCACCAATCATTAGTGAGTATCGCCCACCTCYTTCAGATTCCTCGACAATAAAGAGATGAGGTCATTCGTAGTGGAAAAATATTTGATTCTTTATAGGTAAGAAGTAATTTTGTCCTTACCACTATTAAATATATAATTACGAGAGAAAACGAGTCATTAATTTTTAATGGCAGTAAAGGATAAAAGGAGTAGTATCTTTGATAAAAAGGAGTTTTCTTCCTAGTTGCGAGTGTGGCAAACCTCGATTTGGGCTCTCTTGAATGAAGTGAAGTTTCTTTACATTAGTGAGTACCGCTGCGGTTTATTTTATGGGCAATTTCTTTTTTTTTTTAGGTATTTTCATAAATTAAGGAGGTTTGTTCCAATAATAATATATACTTTACCTGAAGTACTCCAGTTTCTGCTCACATTTTTTTTAATATTTTTGCAGTCCCATGGAGCAGTGTCAGCTTCCTTCTCTATCCTTTATTTTATTTTGGACAAGGTTTAGGATGGTTGGAAGAATATTTTAAATTTGTCCTCCACATGAAAATTCTTATACTTTTGCAGGAACATTATTTAACTTCCAAAGACATAATTTCTACCATTTGGAAACCATACTGTTACTTAAAAGAGCATGCTCTCCATGGATTTCGCATTAACCTTTGTATCTACTTTAATTTATACTGATCCAATAGATCCCTTTCTTGTCATCATGCCAAAACAATTATATATTTTTATTTTATGTAATGATTATTGATATTGATTTGCTATAACTATATTATTTAATTTACTCTAATCTTTTCTCCTTTTATTATGATTGCAAGTGTGGGTTATAAATATAACAACAGATAAAAGACAAGATGGCCGAACAAGAAAGGACCTATGTGTAGAATTTGTCGACAAATTCCCCTCAGGGTCTAACAGCAACATCTTACAACGTTGAAGGACCAAACAAATATTTGGTCCCATTATAAAATGGCGACCGATTGTTCACTTTTATTCATATCACTTGGAAAAACAAGCCTTTTTCTTCAGTTTACGAATCTTCTCCCATATGGCAAACTTGGCTTTCCTTGCTTCTATTTTTCTCTCGTTCGTTTCTCTTCCTAATCTTTCTCGAGCAATTTCTTCTTGCAATGGCCCGTGTCAGAGCCTGAACGACTGCACGGGCCAATTGATTTGTATAAATGGTAAATGCAACGACGATCCTAACATTGGGACTCACGTCTGTTCGAATGGAGGCGGCGGAGGAGGGAAATTTCCTCCATCTTCAAGCAATGATTGTCAGCCCTTTGGGAGCTTGCACTGCAAGGAAAAATCATTTCCGCAGTTCAAGTGCTCACCACAGGTGACTTCCTCCACTCGAGCCATCCTCACAAACAATGACTTCAGCAAAGGTGGTGATGGTGGAGATCCATCGGAATGCGATGGCAAGTTCCATCACAACTCTCATCCAATAGTGGCGTTGTCCACAGGTTGGTACAATGGAGGCTCGAGATGTGGGAAGAAAATCAGAATTACGGCTAGAAATGGGAGGTCGGTGTTGGCCAAGGTGGTGGATGAGTGTGACACTATAAATGGATGTGACAAGGCGCATGCTCATCAACCACCGTGTCGTAACAATATTGTAGATGGCTCAAACGGAGTGTGGCATGCTTTGGGACTTGACATAGATGTGGGTGAAGAACCTGTCATTTGGTCGGATGCTTAGAATTATAGTTCTATAATAATAACATGGTTTGTTGTGATAATAATAAATGGTCGGGCTAATGAAATATTTGGCCCCAAGTGTGACGATTCCAAGCTTGTTAAGATGTGGGGGAAGACAACTCGTCTTTTATCATCTTTTGTTGTGTTCAATTATATGTTTTCAATAGAAGTTTTTGGCTTTGAATTAAATTTATTAAAGCTCGGATAAGTTAAATAGTATAATGAAGGCATATGTGTTAATTAGTTAGGCTTTGTTGATGCAAAAATCTATCCAAGTGTAGTGGAGCTACTCTGTTGGACTCTAGCAAGCCGTTGCGGAGTGAGTTAGGTAGGCCAGGGAAGATATCTCTAGTGAAGTATAGCGAGTTTGAGAGGGAGGACTTCTCGGACTAGCTGACGCAGAGCGAGCTAGAAGAGAGAGACATGCAAAAACAGGTAGGTGGAATACTTCGACGCTCAAATTAGGGCTAGGTACGAGCTAGACAGATCAGCTTCACAAATTTGCATACCTGATTGAGTGGAGTGAAGGTGTATTTATAGTGAGTGAATAGGTAGTTTCCATCTTGAAACGGTTCGTCCTCAAGGTTGGCATGAGATCCCAAAGCTTTTTTTGGCGACCTGCAAACTTGCACGAGCTATTTTTTGGAGAGGGAGCTTGGCCTGTGTGGTCAGCATTCTAACCTCCCTACACGATTAGTTATTTTTACGAAACTTGATTGTTGGAGTCGTTTTGCAAAAATACTGTCAATGGTAGTTGAACTATATATTCAAGTGTTTTTTCTTCTTCTTTTTTTGCAATCCCTAGGTCAGTAGCTTTTCAACATTTAATTGAATATATATCGATTGATACAAACTTAAACACCCAATTCATGAATAGAATTTGACGTGTGATGGATTGTGTATATATTATATGATGTAGTTGATGATTTCATGAATTTATATGTTATAAATGAAACATAATATAGGAAGAAAAGAAGATGATTAAGTWATCTAATTATGTGTTAAGTATATCAATATTTATGGGCTTCCTAGGTTTGAACGTTTTGGACCCATGTCTATTATAAATCATTGTAAGGTCTATTTTCTTTTTTATGTAGGATCCTTAATCAGGTAAACTTGATTATAAATGAAACGTTTTTAAATATAAATAATATTTTATGGATAAAATTACTAATTAAGTAGGTAGCCTTTTAACTTTGTTTTAAAATTTACAGAGAAATATGGTTTGATTTTTTTTCTTTTTTTTTTTTGAAAATTATGGGTTTTAAGAGATTTATTAAATAATTGATATGGCTTAAATTAATTTGTTAGAGCCCTCGATGTTAAAGGCGTGATTTAATAAAAAGTAAGTTTTTGGAGATTTTTATGTAGGTTGAAATTAGTAAGAAATCGTTTTATGAAAACCCAACTAACAAAAATAAGAATTGCAACAATATATATAATCATCTAAGGTCAAATTTAACACAATCCGAAATTTATAATCTTCACTGCATCATCTTGATCAGACTTGTTATATGGAACAATACGGTTGATATGAGAATGGAGATGGGCTGTAAAAGAAGAAGGAAGAACCGAGATTACCGATGATTGAGTCCGACCCAAAGCATAAGGGTCGACCCACGTAGAGCCGATCCCACCTCGACATCGAGACCACCTCGGCGTCGAGCCCTTCTCGACCTAGGTTCTCGACCTCTCTCTCTCAGTCCCAACGCCAATCAAACTATGTTTGGGCCCAACCCTCGATTAAAGGGCCTGCAAGTGTAACGATCTAGTAAACCCGACTACCTAGAGATGACCTAGGGTTGGAGTTCGTGAAACCCTAGGAGCTGGAAGATCAACCATAAATAGAAAGGGAACCACCCATTGAAGGTAAGAAAAATAACACTTCAAATACCTTAGGCTTAGTTATTCTCCTATACCTAAGTTAGACATCGGAGTCTATGTGACGAAAGTCACACCAATTTAAGGTTGTTCTGTTTTTCAGGTATCTAGTCTTTGATAAACAGGTTTGGTGTGCATTTTAGAGAAAGTCAATCAACCAAAATCTAAACATCAACAAGCCTCCCCTTATATGTAGTCGTTAGTCGGCTTTATTCTATACTGTTTGTTTGTAATGGTGTGTTTTTCCTCCACCAAGTTGGATTAAAAAAATCAGAGTAAAACAAAAAAACACCGATCACCAGTGAGTATTGCCACGACGACAATCCGTTTGTATTTTATGGGCACTTCTTAAGATCATTATTCGTTTACCAATATATTCCACGGCACCTCCAAACAGTTATTTTTTTATATATAATCTACAATATCAATATTCATGGTTGAATTTCAAAATCAATTGCGACGAGAGGTTGAGAAGTAATCTATTATAAATATTTGTTATATTTTTATCTTTTCAATATGGATACTTTGACATTTTTAGGCTCACTAATCTTGTCGAATTTTATTTTTGGATGGGAGGCTTGTTTGAACTTTCTAGACTTAATTTGTTAATGATCTCACACTCAAAAACAATGATGCTAACAAAAATTTATAACATAAGTGTGATACTACTCTCATTTGTGAATTAGTTTTGATATAAAACTTCATAAATTTTGATATGGTTATATGAGAGTCCAACAACCTCAAACAAGCATATGATGATTCAAAAGTTATCAAATTCCATTCAGATTGGTGAACCCAAAATGGACACTATCTTGAAGGGATATGAATATTATAGTTTTCAATGAAGCAGTCTCAAGAAGAATTCATGGGTAGGGGTAGAATTTGGATGATAAATTTCCCCGAGGGTGTAACAGCAACAATCAATAAAAGACCAAGGACCAAACAAATATCTGGTTCCATTATTTAAGTCCAAAGCACTTGGTCCCTTTTATTCCCATACCAGAAAAAACAAAAGCCTATGGCACTGTTGCTGCTTTCTCTGTTTCTCTCTGTTTTTTGTCACCCTCAGTTCTCTGCAGCAATCTCTTCGTGCAATGGCCCATGTCAAACCCTCAACGACTGCAAAGGCCAACTGATTTGCATAAATGGCAAATGCAACGATGATCCCAATCTTGGCACTCACGTTTGCTCCAACGACGGAGGAGGAGGATCGAGCCATGGCGGCTGTCACTCAATTGGCAACTTGAATTGCAAGGGAAAGTCGTTCCCCCAGTTCAAGTGCTCGCCTCCAGTCACTTCCTCCACTCGAGCCATCCTCACAAACAATGACTTTAGCAGAGGTGGCAGCGGCGGAGACCCTTCGGAGTGCGATGGGAAGTTCCATGATAACTCTGATCCAATAGTGGCGTTGTCCACGGGTTGGTACAATGGGGGCTCGAGATGTGGGAGGATGATCCAAATTACGGCTACAAATGGGAGGTCGGTGTTGGCCAAGGTTGTGGATGAGTGTGATTCCATAAATGGATGTGACAAAGCGCATGCTCATCAGCCTCCATGTCCCAACAATGTTGTGGATGGGTCGAATGCAGTGTGGAATGCTTTGGGATTTGACATCGATGTGGGTGAAGAACCTGTCATTTGGTCAGATGCTTAGAAATTATGGAATCGACGTGTCCATGTGGTGATATATGTCTTAAGCTTTGTATTAATGATAAATAATGGTGTCGAGATGATGAAATATATTTGACCCAAAATATGATAGTTTTGGTTGACTGTTGTTCAATTTGTGAAAGTACGTGTAATCTTGTAAAGGTGAATAAAAATTGTGTCTTATCATCTTTTGTAATGTTTGATTTTATATTTTTCGCATTTGGTTTTAATAACCTAATTACTTATCTGAGTTTAGTTTAGGGATAATTGTCACTCATTTACAAAGAGGTCATGAGTTCAAATCTCTTTCTTTGTTGTAATATTTATTTTCGATATAAATTAGATATCTAAACTTTTTTGTTAAGATTAATCTCATGAGTTCATGTTCATTTCTTCTAATTCTCCTTTATTTTTCTTTGTACTAAAAAAAAGTAGCATAACTTTAGGAGTTTTCTTTAAACTAAATTAAAGTTTAAAATGGAGTGAATGCCTAAGAATCAGAATTTATATGTGAGATATTTTATCCATCGAAGTGAATAAAGGTATTTATTATTATTATTTTTTTTTATGAAAGAATCTATTACTATAAAGTTGATGTTTGGTTCCTCATCTCACCATTGTTGAAATAGAAAACAAAAATTAAATAATAATAATAATAAGGAATATTTTCACGTCATCCGATAGTTAATTAATATGAGATGAAAATGCAAGTTGGTGTATTTATTTGATTAATTATTTAAACTTTTCAATAATCTGATTTTCTTTTTGATAGCTAGTTTTCAACTTCTAATTATTAAGTAAAGATATTTTCACGGTTTGAAAAGTAACAAAAAGTTAATCCTAAATCTCATGATCCTGATCTCCCTTTCATGGGAAACATTAATCATTTAACACAATTATAGACATCACTGGTTTTTCTTTTTTTTCTTTTCTTCTTTTTTGGGTGGTAAGATAGCCATCACTAGTTAGCTAATATACTAATAATCATTATTTTAAGTATGTTCTACTTTTTGTTATACCTTCAATTTATTTTCTCACTGAATTTTGTGTTATTTTGTTTTAATTAGGCTAGATTTGAAACTCGACCCTTACCTAATACTTTTGTTAAACAAACTAATATATCAAATACAATAATTTCTTATAAATATTAAAACATAGTATATTTTTTTTTAAGAATCTCACAACACATAACGTGGATTCATAACTATTTATTAATATTCTTGGGATTCCATCTCAAAATCAATTGACAATGACATGTCTATTATAAATTATTGTTAGGTTCTCTCTTTTCAATGTAGAATCCTTTAACATTATTGAACTATACTCTCTCGTATTAAAAAAATAATATAAATTAATAATTAACTATATATGATCCGAACACGATATAGAAAAAGTATATTATTCTACATCAATGCAATTAAAACTTATTTACCCACATAATTGTGCCTCTCCATAGAAACATGAATGTCAATTTTGAGCAGCCTGTTTTGGGAGGCATCTCTATATCCACATCCATACAAATAAGAATTTACAATTAGGGTATCATTGTTGTAGGAATTTCGTCCCATAAAATATTGAAGTGTGGACCAATGCCATCTCAGCAAAAATTGACCACTAATTAATATTGAGATTTGATTGTTGTAATTTCCAATTTTGGATGATTTCAATTTTCCACCCTCAACTTGTCCTTGGAATTTAACTCTTCGCTTACCTCACCCTCTAACCAGACTCCAACAACGTTCAACAATATTAAATATATTCTGGTTTTATTTTCTACCATATATTTATATTTCTTTAATCTACCTCTATTTTTACTATGTGAATCTTTATTTAATTATTGTGATTAAAAGATTCCACCTTAGAACACATCGACCGTGTAAGGATCTCTTAAATATATAGTATTATTACAACATAAGTTTTTTCATCTCCGACCAATTTAAATATATCTCAACTGATTAAAACATATATTCTTTTACCAAAAGGTCGGAGTTTCGAATCTCCACCCCTACATATTATTTAACTTTAAAAAAAAAGGTATTTTCATATCTTTGAGAGATTGAATTTCTCATCATAGGAAAATAGCAAAATAATTTAACCATTCAACTATGCTGTGTGGTATCATTTGTGAAATTAAAAATTTTTAATAGCTTGGAATCTTTTCCTTTTACTTCTTTTAGCATTAAATTTTATTTGTTGGGCTTTAACTTCCAGATTGGGCTCTAAGGTCCTTCTCTCCCTTTAGGCCCAACAATTAAGGGACAGAACGTATTAGGGAACAACCACTTTTTGGTTGACCTTTTTTTGGATAAATGGTTGACTTTTAAGCACAACCTCAATTTTTACGATATTATTCATATCCATGACTCTTTTTCAATGTATGATCTTCTACACCAAAAAGATACCATTTCTTGTTTCAGGACCAAAAACAAAGTTCAAAGAAAAATTAGAATTTTAAAGATACAGACTCACGAAAGATTTGTAATAGGTAGCATATAAGTTTTCTATATTTAGCAAAATAGCATGGGTTTTTTATATTTTCAGATATAGCATTTTTTTTTAAATCCTGATTTTAAAATTTTCAGTATTCCCAAATTGCCCTTTTCAGTTATCGCTTCGTTATTATATATCAAACATATATCTCATATATATCAGGAATATATCTGACAACATTAGTATATCATAAGTAAATCAATAGTATATCAGAAGTCAATCAGTTCTATATCAGTCGTATAATAGTAAATCACTATTTTATCTGCTTTAACCATTTGTCTTGTATTTTTGATCAATTAGAAATCAGTAGGTATTGRCATGCATGGAAAATGAGAAAAAAAATTTGATACTTACTGAAAATGAGAAAGAAAACTTGAAAGGAACGTGAATGTGAACGTCAATGGTGATTTTCRAAATTACTGTGAATGACAAMWCWAYWAGAAATTAGAGGTAAATAGRAACTTWGAGTTTTTCTGTATATCAATAATATATCAGTGATATATCAAGTATACATCGTACATATATCAATAGTACAATTAAGTTTTATTTAAAGTTTTAAAGATCAAAACGAAATCAGCAACAATGTCATTCTTAAAAGGNAAGTATACATCGTACATATATCAATAGTACAATTAAGTTTTATTTAAAGTTTTAAAGATCAAAACGAAATCAGCAACAATGTCATTCTTAAAAGGCTTAAACATCATTCTTGGGTATTAACATCAACACCAAATCAGTAGCAAAGTCCTTCAACCAAAAACTTAAAAGTTTAAACATCAAAACGAACCAGTAGCATAAACCAAACGTAGACAAACAATGTCATTCTTAAAATTCTATAAAAGAAGAAGCATAAATTCCAACAGTCTAGAAAAGCGTAAGTTTCATTCTTGTATAATCTTTAGGTAAAGCTTGAGACATCAATCTTCGTTCTTGGTAATTGTCGTGTCTTCGGAGATAATATATTTGAAGTCAATCAATTCTATGTCACCTATAGCAATAGATATCATAGTTATATCAGAAGTAAATCAATTTCATATCATATGTATATCAAACATATATCACATATATATCAGGATTATATCTGTCAATCATTAGTATATCAGAAGTCAATCAGAAGTAATTTATTCTTGGTACGCGCCTGCAGGGTATACTTGTAATTTAATTTAGAACGTGGGCCTCCGTTTTTTTGCAAAAAAAAAATGCTATATTTGAAAAACTCAAACCTTGTTGTTATTTTGCTTATTTTCCTAACTTTTTTTTTGCTATATCTCAAGTTGTCCCTAATATTTAAAATCTTTGTTAAAATGAAATTTAGATCACACAGATTATAGAGTTTAATTATACTGTAATATTTCTTCCCACCTTTCAATGTATCCATATATATATATATATATGTGTGAATATATATGTTTTCTGGTATAACATAGATGAAGATTTAAATCTCAAACTTTAAGAATATAAATAATATAACTATTTGAACCAAGTTTATATCGACAATGTGCTCTTACGCACGGTATAATTTTTAATAACTTCATTTCATTTTTAGCCACACAAGGATGAGAGAACGTTGTAATTTGGAACTGCATCACTAACAGTCCCCTTCGAAAACCAAAACATAACTTTTGGCTCTTGCATGAGGTCGTTTTTCTTGAAAATAAAACGTGGTACAGTACAAACAAACAGCGTTTGGCTGCATGAAAAGGGAAAGGAAGTGAAAGTACCGCCCACTTGATGACATCAAAATTCTAAAACTGATTAATCACAACTTGTAAATAAAAGTTTTCAGTGTAATCTACAGACATCCCACAAGCTTATTTTGTCATCAATAAAAGTTCTTTTTTACACAGTTTTAACAGAAGAGGGCTAACTTGGCAGCCACTTGATAACAAAAGTTGAAGACAGTGAATTGATAGGAAATAATAATACAGAGGACAGTGGCCACATGGCAGTGGTATTCTAATTTACAGGAAGAGGAGTCCCATCCCAACATTCAAGGCATTCAAGCAGAGGATCAATGATTTTCCCCTCACAAATTGCTGTAAAAACTTTGTCAAATTCTTCCCCAGGGGATTTCACCTTCTCCCCTGTCAAAATAGAAGTTCCCAAATCTTCTCTTACAAATCTGTATAGTGGATAAGATCTACATTCTTTGATCTTGTTGCAAATTGCTGCTTTGCCTCTTCCAAGGGCTTGTCTTCCACTTTCTACCTCTTTGGGCAAAAGGGTCTTTAGCTCTTCCTCAAAAGCTCCAATCTTTAGAAAGATTGAAGATTTTGAATTCTTCAAATCTTCATGGTTGTTCAGAGCATGTTCAACCAGAACTTGCCTCAGCTTTTGCATTAAAGGATATGTCATGCTACACGCGTCGTCAATGTAGGCAAAAACATGCTCCCGATCAATGACTTTGAGCAAATCTTTCTCACAGAATCTTGAAGGATGGAGCTCTCCGTTTACTCCAATGGTTAGAACCTTCTTGGCCACTTGACTCACTGTGTTTTTCACAGTGCTCTTCAGATTCTCTTCCATGTGTCTCAAATCTATGGCTTGGCAGAGACCAACTAGGAAGGTTGTGCTCATCAGCTTCAAGATTTCTACTGCCTCAGCTGTTTTTCTTGAAGAAATTAGACCCAATGAGTTCACGTCTTGGTTGTGTTGCTCCGCACTTTGGACATGGTTGGTGACGGGATTTGCTAAGAATTGCAGCTCTGAGCAATAGGCAGCCATGGCGATTTCGGCTCCTTTAAATCCATAGTCTAAGCTTGGGTTGCTTCCAGCAGAGAGGTTCGAAGGTAGGCCATTGTTATAGAAATCGTTGACTAGTTCGGAGAATTGAGCAAACATGAGCTTCCCAATTGAGGCTATGGCTAGTCTTGTGTTGTCCATGGACACCCCAATTGGAGTTCCTTGAAAATTGCCACCGTGTAAGGCTTTGTTCCTCGAAACATCAATAAGTGGATTGTCGTTCACTGAGTTGATCTCTCTTTCAATTGACTTTGTTGAATGTCGGATGATTTCAATTTGAGGGCCTAGCCATTGAGGAGAAGTTCGAAGAGCATAACGATCTTGCTTCGGCTTTTGAAGAGGGTCCATTTCATGTAATTTTTTATCATCTTTGACAAAAGCACTCCCGTCCAAAATATACTCCATAACCGCCGCAGCTTCAATTTGACCAGGATGGTGCTTCAATCTGTGGGTTAAATGGTCAGTAAACTCGGGCTTTCCTTGCATAACTTCAGCAAAAACTGCTGACAAAACTTCTGATAAAAGAGCCAAAATGTTGGCTTCAAACAAAACAATGGAAGCCAAACCAGAGCCAACGCCCGTGCCATTAACAAGTGCGAGACCTTCTTTAGGCTGCAGCTCAAAGAAACCACTGTCAATGCCTGCGAGTTGAAAGGCTGCTCCAGCATCGAGCTGCTCCCCAGCCGGCCCGATAGCCTTGGCATTAGGTCGACCAGTCAACAAGCCAGCAAGGTAAGAGAAGGGAACCAAATCACCCGACGCAGTGATGGTGCCGCGCAACGGCAAACAGGGCGTGACATTGTGGTTGAGGAGCTTTGTAATAGACTCCAAAATCTCGAATCTAATACCCGAATAGCCTTGAAGAAGGGTGTTGATTCTAACCAGCATCGCGGCTCTTGTAGCGGTATGTGGCAGCGTGTGGTTCGCCTCTGTTCCATTCCCAAATATTCCGGCATTCAAGAATCTGAATTCAAATAACTATTCCAGGTCAAAAGGGTTTTTTTAAGCCTCAAATAAAATTAGATAAAATACAATCTGAAATTTTAATTTGTATTCTGAACAATTAAACGGTTTTCTCCCAAAATGTCTCTCGAAACACCAGGAAATCGGCCATTTTTCATTTTCACGCGCGCCTACTCATCGTGACCCACCCCTCATTTACTGCTCTATTTAACTGTGCAGTTACGTACGATTTAATATTAGTGCTTAAAATGGAAGGGAAAAAAAAAAGAGAACGTATATTTCTTAAATAAATTAAATGATCCAATATCAATAATTAGAAAATGATATGTATTTTTTCAAGATGACTTAATAATGTTGGAATTAATACTAAGAAAATGATATTTTATTCCAACAAACGCCCTCTCGAAACTTAAAAACTATATTTATAAAATCATAAAAGAGTTATTTACTGTTTTAAATAGTTCTTATAGATTTTTTTAGTTTTTATAGGTTTATGTAGGTTTCGTAACATTTATGGCATCAACATTTTTATAAATTTTAATCTTTTTATGATATTCTTCGGACCCATAAGTGGTCAATTATCATTCTTTTATCTCATGTTTTTATGGGACTATGACTATGTATCTGTTTTGTATTTGTGATATTAATATCTAAAAACAGCTTTCAAATAATAATAAAACATTTAATACATCCTAGGAATAAAATCTTCTAAACCACAAATGTGGCTCGTCTTCTAATTGTGCGTCATCCACCAAATTTAATTAAATAATACATTTAAAACTTGAAGGGAATCGTAATACTACCTGTTCGCGAGATGACACGGTGCAATTTTAGTGCCTCAAAAATTTTACTCTTAAAATAACGTTCAAGTATTTTCTTTCTTTTTTTTTTTTTTATTTCTTTTCAATTTAGTCTCTAATTTTTAAATATTTAGTATATTACATTTTAAAATCTTTCGGGAGGAATTGGTCAATGTTAAACTCATATAACATGATAATTAGTAAAATCGAGTAACTCCATTCTTGTTTTAAAATTACGTCAAACTCACTCATTATCATACCCTACAGAAATTTAAACAAAAATTTGAGTGGATCCACTCGTGCATTAAAATATATATAGCCAGGTAAGTATGGTTAACATTTAATAGTTACCTAATGAGCTCCTTTTGCAAGGCAGCTCCTTCGTTTGTCCTTCTATGGGAAGTTGCACCAAAACCAGTGGTGACACCGTAGCTGTCGGTACCTTTATTCATGCTTTCCATCACCCAATCACTACTAGCTTTGACCGCGGCTCTGGCAGAGTGGTTAAGCTCCACCTTGACCCCACCGTCATGCAAGGCCACCGCAGCCACCTGCCCGATGGTGAGGCTCTCCCCACCGAGGCGGACCGCCGCCCTCCGGTAATCGTCCACCATCCGCTTCACCTCCTCCAAGTGACTCTCTTTGAGGCCCTCCGCCGCGGCGGCCCAATGCAATGGGTCCTTGTTTTTGACGCAAATATGGTTATCCACCGGAATATGGCCGTTGTAGTTATTGCAGCTCTCGAGTTGGCTGGCTTCCATTGCTGGAAAAATTCAGGGGCCGGGGAGGGGGAAGAAACTAAAATTGGGAATTTATTAGAAAAAGGAAAACTAAGTTTGGTTTTCCTGAGGCGAGAGGAAGAGTTTAGGAATTTCTTAAATAGAAAGCCCAAATTACGTTTGTGCTGTAAAACGCGAGGTTGGAGGAAATCAAGAGGGGATTAGTTGGAGGGATTTTGTGGCCGTTGGATGTTTACCTGAGGATCGGAGGGCTTTGATGGAGACACGTGTGTGTGGGAGAGGTGGATGATGGGATTTGCTTGTTGGCAAAGGAGTGGGGGTTGGTGGAGTGTATGGTGACATGGTTACCTGCGTCGACACCTCCGAGATGGTGGAGCCTAACTTACCATTAACCCCTTCCTCTAACTCCTAAATTACACCTTTACCCCCATCCCCTCATTAACTCCCATTTATTTCTCTACCTATAGTCCCTATTCTATTCACTGCTCATTACTAATTACAAAACTCCCTGTTCTACTCTACTTAATTCCACCACTCATATTTACTTTTGGTGGGTTAAATTATTTGATTTTTTTTTTTTTACTGAGCTTTATAGTCTAATACATTCAAACTAACACACAGTTATTTGAATAGAAAATTGAGTGAGAATTTATCAATATAATAATGTCATGGATTATTTGTAAAGTTTTACTAAACTATTGGGATCAAACTAATACTTTTGAAATTATGTGAACTAAATTTAAACCTTTAAAATTCTAGAGACTAAATTATTTAGTCTTTTACCCTTACAAAGTTTTAAATTTATTTTGATATATATGAAGTGTATTTTAACATTACATCATCAAAATTTTTAATTAATTTTAACCTTTTTTTGATAATAAAACATAACTATTAAAGAGAGTCCATGCAGAATGGATGAATTGAAATTTTAAAAAGGTTAAAAGGACTGAATTATATATTTAGTATTTTTTTTTATTTCGTCCAGTTGGATTTTAAACAATGAAGTGAAATTCAACACTTCGTTAATTGAGTTATTGTTTGTCAAAGTACGAGTATTCTCGTACATAAATAATTATTTCAATTAGAAGTTGACTTTTTGTAATTGTATTTTAAGCAATGGAGTATGTTCCGAAACTTTAGTTAATTTTATTCTCTACAAGAGACAGATAAAAATTTATCAAAATTTCAAAAACTTTTATTCGGAAATGATATAGTCCTCATCTTTGTCGGACAAAACTTTCTAAAGGTTTTCAATTAAAAAATGAAAAAAAAATCAAAGAGATCAGTGGTTCGTGGAATTCTTTCATTAATTTATTTTATAAACTTATAATATTAAGACACATATCTAAGACCACAAGATCGTGAGTTCAAATTTCTACTCCTATAAAAATTTAACCAGATGTATTAATTTCTACTTGTATAAAAGTTTAGAGAAATGATTCATTTTTATCCAACTTAGCAACAGATGTATCAATTTTTACTTTAAACTTCTAATTTTATCAAATTGCACCTTAAATTTGAGTAAATGTTGCAATATTCACTCAACTTTAGAAATTGTTGCAATTTTCACTTTATGATATGTTTTTTTCGAATAATCATTGAAAAAGTATTACCGTATTGTCCACTGAATTACAAAATATATTTAATAAGAAATTGATGGGATATATTTTTTTTTTGTTTTTCGTGAAATTTTTAAAATTTTTAAAATTTGGCAATGATTGATTTTGTGTATTAATTGAAGTGTATAATTTGACTGTCATTAAGTTAATTAGTTATTGGAGTTTTTATATTATTTTCGGAATTCAATTCGATGAAGTTGAAAGTTTAGAGTGAAATTTGATACAAATGAACGAAACTGAAGAGGGTAGGGGTAAATTTCGATGTTCTTCCTCATTATGATCCAAATTTATTTCTTTGGATTAAATTTATAATTTTGTGTAATAGAACAAAATGCTCTTTTGTATTTTAGACATTTTTAGATGTTTAATTATCACGATTTCAGATGCACCTTAGATTCCTACGACAAAAAGAAAAGGATAACTTATTGTCTATGTATATAAAAACAAATAATAAACAGATTGAGGAGAAAAATATATAATAAATATTTTAAATTTTAGTAGGTAGGTAGGTTGGACGTTGTGGAGATTTTCTAAACTAGATTACAAATTTATAGATTTTCTTGAAAATGCTTATCCACCTTATGCATGCCATAGTCAAATCTTCCTCGCCATCTCTCTCTCGCATTTTCTTACATAAAATAAAAAATTGGCAAAACAATTTTTTTTTTTTTAAATATTTGTAAATGGGACAGAAATGTTGGGATAATGAAGCCAAAACAGATGACCCGTGTACTATGAGGAAAATGATTTTCAAACACTACTACCAATTCCTACAAAGGGTAGGATATTATTGTCTTATAAGGATTACAATATTGTTTTCCTATAAGGATTATGATATTTGACCTAATCCTAGGTAGCCATTGTTAGGTACTTATAAGCTGAGTGAGATCTCCATTCTAATATTCTCAACTATAGTTGAACCTGTTTTTTCGTAAAAGACTGGACGTAGTCCCAAAATAGGGACGAACCAGTATAATCCTGTGGTGTTTAGCTTTTCTATCTCTATCTCTTATTCTTTTGTTATTGTTACTTAATTACTTATCTGCTTTTATCCTGTGGAAAGAGAAAATCAAATAGTTCCTGTTTGAAGAACTCACAGGATGATCGATTTATCTATTCTTTTTTTCCCAACATGAAAAAACATTTAAAACCAAAATATATATATATTTAGAATTACTTTTTCCAAAAAACAAACATCTACGTCCAAAGAAAAAGCGTTAGGTGAAAATGCTCTTATTTGAAAATCTTGATGAAGTCACAAGATATGACTATGGTTTGTTGGTGTGAAAGAAATACATATATACGAACATATAGTTTGTGTGATTATACAGTGGCATCTTTCACATATAAGTATAGTTTAACCAGTCGATACATTATTTATCATTCAAATATAATCAATCTCCCTTTCAATAAATTTACGGAAAAATATATTAATATATTTGAATATTATGATAAGTACAAATTTATTTGTCCGTATGAAGTAATTAATAATTTCGAAAGAAGAGAGAAAAAAAAAGGTGTGCCATCCCATCAAACGGGCCAAAAACAACAAACCAACAATGAATGAATAGCTAACATTTTTAACTTTTGGCTAAGCCTAATTTGAAGATGAGATGAGAAAGAAGTTGTTGCATTCGGTATTCAATGCCCCTCACCAACCCACTCCAAGCAACGTTTCATCCTTTTCCTCCATGTTTTTTTTATTTTAATTCCTTCTCAATAATCAAATAATCATAATATATTTTAATATTAAATAACGGGTTTTCTCTATCCTTTTAATTTTATTAACTTCGAAACTAAACTAATATTTTCTATCTATATCACTAAAATATAAGATGATATGTGTTTGTTTTCTTTTTTTAATTTTGAGAAAGAACTAATCGATATCCTAACGTCATTTATGAAGAGTCAAACAAGGAAGCCTCATCCTCAGATAAAGATTTCTTTGATGGGACTATTTCAACGAGAACCACTTTCACTATTGTAATTTTTTTTTCGAGTTCCATTAGATATTAAATTACATGATTTATATATTTTTGGACCATGCTCAAATAATTTGAACTAATTGAAAAACAACCTGCCTTAAATATCACTGAAGATATTTGTGCGAGAAATAGTGGCATTGCTCCAAATCAATTGATCTTTTTAATTTATTTTTTTTAATATTTAGTATTTTTAAAATTTTTGAAAAATGCTAAAATGAGCAATTGGATAAAGTTAGGAGCCTCTCAAGTCAAAAGCTCCTTTAGCTTTTCGCGTTAGTTATTTGTTGTGGTCAATAGATGAATTACGGGATTACCCTCGGTAGCGTAAACGTCAGGAAGAGGAAAAAGTTCTATCGACTTGTTCAACAAGGGTTTCATTGCAAAAGTTGAAGGTTTCGAAACACATAAATGGATATTTTTTTTAACATTTATTTTAAATATCGAATAAAAAATAGATATTATATCATTATATGAGTAATGCTTAACTACATTTGATGGTTGATAAGCTCGTTCTTGGCTTGGAGCTTGTTGAGGACTTCTAGTTATGCAACTTGATGAAATTTTATCTACTTGTTACTTGACCAAGTTTTTGTGTCGTGGCTTGTGGATGATTCTAAATGTCTGTGGATATGTTTTTGAATCCTATTTATAAAGTCTTAGTGGTTATATCAACATTCCCCTTATGACCTTAATGGGTTTGAGCCCAATCTCCATAAGGGTCGATCCAATTTAGCCAGTGTCATCGGATGGTCATAAGAAAGACTGGCATGTAAATTTGTGATTGATCCTAAATATAATTTTAAATAATGATATGACACTAAATAAATTGTCCAAATTTTACCATTCACAACTTTTACTTTTTGTATTTAAAATTTTAGAAAACAAAACGAGAAAGGGTGGTTAAAGATATTCTTATTTCTTTTTTCAATAAAAAAAATAAAAAACAATAAATAGTTACCCAACACAATTATATTTGTCTTGGTTAATAAATATGAAACGAAAATCAGGCCAAATAAATAAACTAGAATTGACAAGTTATATAAACATTTTTCCAATACCTAAATAAAAAATTTTAATCGTATTCATTTTAGAATTTTTCTCTTTCAAAACGAAACCATAAATAAATCAATCAAATCAAATCATAATTTAAAATAATGTCTTTAATTATTCTCTTCTTTAATTTCAAACAGAGATAAGTGAAAGTGGAGCAGGAGGTTTAAATCAATTATATTTTAATTTTAATATAGTGAATCCACTATTACAAAACATTAGCCAGCTATGGTTTTTTCCGGGGTTATGATAATAACTTCTCTAAATAAATAAAAAAAAAACTAAAATTGTTATAGGAATAAAAAACTATAATTGGAGAAAGATTAATATTAATTACTATTGGTTTGTTGTAAAAAACAAAAAGAAATATTAATTACTATTTGTGCGCCATTTATCAAAAAAATAAATAAAATATTACTATTTGTGCATTGTAATCGAATTATAGATTTTCACAGTGAAAACATGT